TTACGCCCAAATTTGCCAAATTTGAGTCTCCACCTATGTTGAGTGTACTTTTCAGCAAGGATGCCTTGTAATATGAGTTGGTAGATGATTTAGAATCATTGGTATTGCAAATGGACTGCCACAGTCACTCTACAGCTCCTAAACTACAGAATAACAGATTTTGAACTGCATGTTATGCTGTCTCCACCTCGGTTGAGCCGATTCTGAGGATCCTATTATATGAAATATGATTGGTATAACCCATAATATTAAATATTAGGACTTTGGAGCAATTAAAAAGCATGAGAGGGTTAGTTCTAGTCACTTATATTAGCTCATGTAGTCAGTGAGCTGCTCCACCTGTGTTGAGCAGACAAACCTGCTCAACCGGCACTTTTTGAGTACCCACCTGTCTTACGTACCTTAAAATTGGAAATTTGGAGTAAATGTTTTTTTCATAAGTGATTTACAGCTCCTTTATTTTTGTAATTTCCAGGTGGCCACTGTCTCCACCAAGGTTGAGTTATTTAAATTTTGAACCCAGATATCATTATAGAAAGGTTAGGAGTATAATATCTGAAGAGCCTGTACCCCTTGGACTGTCAGAGAAATTATAATCAATTTTACCGTTTATGGCAGTGAAATGAGTGTAATTAGTGACTGATTTTATGTACAGGTTGTCTCCGAACTTGACCATAATGTCTACTGCTAACCAGAAAACATCATCGGTCTGGTCATAGGTACTACTCAGAGGAATGCGGAACCCCGTATGCGTATGCACGTTGCAACAACTGCTCAGTCAACTTGCAGCTTGCTGCTTGCCTATCAGAATTTCAATTATGACTTTCATTTGGTTGAAAATTGAACGAAAATTAGCTTAAAATTATTCGAAAATTTAGGTGGGGCACGAGAACTGTTAATTAAACTGTAAACACTATCTTATTGTGTAATTCCGGGGGGGGGGGGGGGGGGGGGGGGGGGGGGGGGGGGGGGGGGGCAATGACTTCTTTTGGGGACTTGGGGAATTACGTCAATGATTTTTAGTCCCCATTAGTCCCCAAAAGTCTCCATTAGTCCCCATTTAGATGATTTTTAGTCCCCATTAGTCCCCAAAAGTCTCCATTAGTCCCCATTTAGATTTATCCTACTCTTATCTTGGACAAAACATCTCGATCGTATTGTTATTAAACTAACTTGAAAACCATAAATAACTGTCAAAAATTCTGGGGACTTATGGGGACAAATAGTGAATTACGTCAACGAGTTGACCTCTAGTCCCCATGATTTTTAGTCCCCATTAGTCCCCAAAAGTCTCCATTGGTAGTCATTGGCCCCCCCCGTAATTCCTCATGAAAATCAGATAATGACAAATATCGAAAAATAAGGATATAAATTTAAATTTTCCGGCAAGTTCCGGCTGCCTTATATTTTACCCTCCAAACACCGGTTTTGGTCCGGCAGAATCCGGCTAACCGGATAGTAAATTGATATCCGGCAAGATCCGGTCCGGCAGCCAAAAGCCCATTCCGGTCGGTTCCTAGATATAATATATATTATATAACCGTCTTAGGAAAAATACGAAATAACTGATCATGGATCACGTTATTCATTTTTACGGAACATTTGGGATTGTTCAATGCAACCTGATATAATGTGAAAGAAATTGTAATAAAAATTATGGAAAGATCAAGGATCGAATGAGTAAAAACTAAAAACTGTATTTACTTTTAGCGCTCGCTCTCATATCTAAATGTCTTGCTATCACTTAACGACACGTCACCAATCACAATAACAAGAATATACAATACCCAACAAAGAGCTAGCAACTATTTCAGACAGCTGTGGAGACTGGTAACGGAAGCGAAATATTAGACTTTATAATTGGTTTGGGGGAGCTGTAAACCAATTATCTAAACACCTCGAAATGAGGAATGCGTCTAGCTGTTAACTGGGACCTGAAATGATATATATGATGTAGTTAAAATATGTCAAGAGGTAATCGGATGATCTGATGAATCACTTTACACTCGACTATTAAGTTTTTGTTAGGGACTGGCCCAAAGTACCAGCCATTACCTGGGGACCCCCCCCCCTTATTTTCTGTAACCTTGTAATATGATTTAAGATTTAGTAGGAGGCAGGTGCAGTGCGGTCCTCTTTTTAGTTCGTAAATCGTATTTATTTTGTTAGATGAGTGCTACTTTAATATCTGTGGTGCACATGTTGGTGCACTTTAATATCTGAGGTGCACATGTTGGTGCACTTTAATATCTGAATTCTGAGGTGCACAGGTTGGTGCACTTTAATATCTGAGGTGCACATGTTGGTGCACTTTAATATCTGAGGTGCACATGATGTTGGTGCACTTTAATATCTGAGGTACACATGTTTGTGCACTTTAATATCTGAGGTGCACATGTTGGTACACTTTAATATCTGAGGTGCACATGTTGGTGCACTTTAATATCTGAGGTGCACATGTTGGTGCACTTTAATATCTGAGGTGCACATGTTGGTGCACTTTTATATCTGAGGTGCACATGTTGGTGCACTTTAATATCTGAATTCTGAGGTGCACAGGTTGGTGCACTTTAATAACTGAGGTGCACATGTTGGTGCACTTTAATATCTGAGGTGCACATGTTGGTGCACTTTTATATCTGAGGTGCACATGTTGGTGCACTTTCATATCTGAGGTGCACATATGGTACACTTTAATATCTGAGGTGCACATGTTGGTGCACTTTAATATCTGAGGTGCACATGTTGGTGCACTTTAATATCTGAGGTGCACATGTTGGTGCACTTTAATATCTGAGGTGCACATGTTGGTGCACTTTAATATCTGAGGTGCACATGTTGGTGCACTTTAATCTTGTAATCACTCTCACCTTCTCCGCTCATAAAAAGTAGTTACCACACTTCAAGTAGTCTTTTTAAAGTACCTACTTATTGTAACTTTCTTCACTCCTAAAGACATGCAGACTACAGAGTCACTAAAATCCCACTAAATGACATAAAAAATCCAGTTTTACTCAGTGACGACACAATATAACCCCTACCAATCACAGGAGCACACAAAACACCACGTGAGACCACGTGACCTATCCTAAACCTAATAAACCCGGGTAAATTCAAACAGGGGGCCGGAGAGTCCCTTTAATGACATGTAATCCGATCTGTGCTGAACCAAGAGCATGGCCGCCCCCTGGCCATCATTCACTACATTATCCTCACTAAATTATATTCCCCAGTGCATTAAATCTACGTGTTTTGGTTCCTTTTAAGTGTATTAGGTTTGCAGGTGCCATTGTAGAGTTGTGGTTGGTAGTGGGAGTAGGTTTGTAAGGGAAGTTGGGAGATTATGTTAGGTTTGGCCTCCATACGGCCCCTATACGGTCATTTTACGGTTCCTTTACGGCCATTATACGGCCGATAGTGACCGTATCGCAGCAAAACTTAATTTATTAATTTCCTGTATATAATGTCTGTAAGTGGTGATCCTTTAAATCCTATTTCTTAACTGTGTCCTGAGAAGCATGTTATTGTGGTGGTTGGTTTATGAACTATTAGGTTGTTTGAATAAAGTTGTATTTCGTTGCTTGCCATGTTATAAAGTTATAAGATGGTCAAACATCACTCGCAATCTTAGGTGGCGTTGTAAGCCTATGAAAATAAAAGCTAACGACGAAAAAACAACTCAAGTTTAAAGTTGTTTACTTAATATAATTATATATAGCTGATTATTAGTGGTTGTTGTTAGACTTGCTGGAGAATGCACTCTCTCTCTCTTTCTTTCTTTCTAGCCGAGATCATGCACATTACGTACAACTACCAATAATGAGCAGACACTATTTTAGAAAGTTGGCGTGCAGAACTCCTCCTCTCTCTCTCCTCCTGATGATCATCATAGTGGAGGATTGTTCCATTTACTTGCTTTTCAGCTCCATTTACGTGAAGATATTTGTGTGACGGAGTTTTCTGTTAAATAGTTGTGTCGTGGCATGTGCTCTGCATGCAAATATTTGAGTTATCTACAGTGTTTTTAGTGTGGGCTACTTATCTTTAGGTACCCTTGTTATAAACTTATATTGTAATACGTAGAATGAGTGTCCAAATTACGTTGCTAGGAGCGCTTTATTATTATTAAATGATTTTATTCCCTAAGGAACTGAACCCCAGTTTATTATGCTGCAGGTTCCTATAATATATAGAGCATTCGATCTGCACTGTTGTTTGTACAGTTGTGAAATTTAAATTGTCAGTCAAGCATTTTGCTTGTTTTTCCACTTGGCTTTTTTAGAATATAACAAATGGCTAAATTGTCCTTGAGTATATTCAGGAAGATTCAGGATCGTTGTGTTACTGGTTATTTTACTGGTTATTTTACTGGTCACTGTGATGATTCAGTTTCTGTTTTACTGGTCACTGATTTGGTTTACTTTGACATGTAGTAGTGCCCCTCGTGCTTTAATATTTACACTAAGGGTGGTAAGATATATTACTAATATTACTAATATAATAGTGTCTTCAGAAACCAGACCTGTGTAGGAGTATGCTGAATATTTAATATTTATGTATTGATATTAAGTCATATAATTATTAAAGTGTGTGGTGAGCCGTGGGATCTTGCGTAAATACTGGTTTCCCGGATGTTTATCAAGCATAAAATCTGCTTTAACTTTACGTCTTCAACTTTACTATTGTAGTACTATGCTTGATAATATTATCTGCTATTGAGTAGATATCTGAGATTTGGTTAAAACGCTTTGTCGTGTTATATTTTGTGGAATTATCTTGTGTGGTTTGATGTTTTCTCAAAATGGTTGAGAATTTTCTGAATGGTATCGTTAACGTGTTTGAATGATTTGACCAATTTGCTTCTTTGCTTGTTTAACGTTTATTATTTCTTTATTTTGTGTCAGTCATCTTACTTAAAGTCATGAACATCTGTTGACGCCTTGATTTAGATATATCTTATCGCAACCTTTTTTTTGTAATAAACTTTCCAAACTATTCAGGTCAATTCGAGACAGAAGAAGAGCGAGATACGAAGGTTAGAGCGAAGATGTTGGAAGAAGAAGCAAAGTTTTCATCTTTTCTCCTCCATGCGTCAGACAGACAGGATTACATGAACAATAACATGGTGGAAGAAGAAGAGGATGATGATGATGAGGTGAATTATATTTTAAATTAATGTTATGGAGAGGGAACATTATACATACTGGGTTTTGAATAAGTTGGTATACATAACAAGGGATTCAACTAGTATACAAGATTGTACTCAAGTTTGTGTTCATGAACGTGACTGAGCCACATATTATATCACTCTATCACTTTTAATCTAACTTTAAACATTAGTCACGATTAACCTGAGTTTCATTTCGGAAACACCCCAGGGCACATGTGCCCTGTTCTTCGTTTTAAAGCCTCCACTAACAGACAAAGAACTTTCTAGTGAGATCGTTAGAACTAATGATGCAACCTGAAACTCAGAATTCCTGAAACTCATAATTCCGAACAACGGATCTGTCTTGCTATGTAAAGTCGTAAGTTGGGCCAACGTTAGTAACGTGTTACCAACATGTCGTCCCTGAACTTCCGGTTTCTAAAAGATGACGATTGCTCAATTAATGTATTGCTTATAAAGTACACTATTTCAATCATAATATCGTATATAATGGAGCAATGGGAAACATCTCGAATAATAAATTTTATGGCAGAGTATAGCTACTATTATAAAATAGCTTTTAAGTTTTATAGGCAGCAGTTATCTTGCAATAGGTAACAGATGCTTGCAGCATTAGTAACTCACTTATAGACAATACCACTCCACTCTAATAATACCGCTAAAATATCTTAGCAAGTATGATGAATATCCTTAAATATTTTCATGCCGTAAAGAGTGCTCACATCCCTCTCGTGACTCTGTATTATTCGAGACACTGTTAATACTAAAGTAATTTGTAAATGTAAGATAAGAACATCTGGCAATTCACTTCTTAGAGGGGTAAAGCAGCTCACGCTTTTAATTATGGTGGGAAGCATAGTGTGCAGTGCGATTTAAACTTTACTTTTAGTAGCACGCTAATATTGCCCAGCAGGGATGGTTAAAGTATTTAAGTTGGACTATTTATAGATTTACGTCAATACCACATTTAAGATTTACGTCAATATCACTTTTAAAGAGTTCACAATATGAAATCATGAAATTTATGCTGTTGTTGATTTATTTATACAACTATGTTTTAATCGGTTTATCAGTTTCTTTCTTTTGTTTGTGTATGTCTGTGGAAATCTTTATCACCACTGATCGAATGATTTTATCAGTTATAATTTGCTAATCACCCTAATTATCGAGTAATTAATTAGCCGTTAATTACTCCCAGGAGGAGGACATGATACAGTGTGGAAGTAAGGAGGAACTAGCCGAGCAGTTCAGGAACATCATGATACAGAGGTTCCTAGGTGGGGAGGATTCTGATCATATCTCGTATCTGGATATTGATAACAACGAGAAATACGACGATCTTGTCATGAGGTTTATAGAAATATTTTTAAATTGTTAAATATAAATATTTTAAAATTTCGTCATCGTGATGTCATCGTGACGTGGTTGATATGACGTCAAATAATAGTATAATAGTATAAAAATGTCTGATCGTATTTTTCTTAATCATTACTTTGGTCTCAGCCTTCAATTTGTTTCCATCGTTAATACAAGTGCTACATTTCTTAATTGTTCGATCTAAATATATTAGTTCACCTCTAACAATTTATTGTGAACTGTGATATTCAGTCAGCGCACTCTAACCAGTTTATTTTGTGTTAAAATTTGTCGAAGATCATTAAACTTTCTCCATGACAATACTTAACCGACAACCGTTCTATCAAACATTCAAATCTATATTCATTGTTGTTTGTTGACTTATTCGTTTCTTTTTCCCGACCTCAGATCAAGAGATGCTGAAGATGCGTATTTTGACTGTGAATCTGAAGAGGATGCTAAAGAACAGATGGAAGATGACCGGGAGTTCAACCCTCCTCCCTTGCGGCCGAGAAAAGCCAGCTCTACAGACGATAAGTCTTAATTTTTAATCGATGCGTAAATCTCATTTTAGTGATTGAGTATCATTTTTATGAATAAATATTTATGCTTGAATATTATTTTTATTTATTTTTAGACAACATCCTTATTTGTTATCTTTGTTATCATTGAAATTGTCCGTTTCGAATTTCAATTTCAAGATATTTAGAAAATCGTTTCCACGTTTTATCGTTATATATTCTAGATGATTCCATCCGTGAGATTTTATTTATTAAAGCTTCATTTCGAAGATTTTCCAGTAATTACATAAAATATGTTAACAGTTTTATTCACACGCGTATTTTGGTCGTCCTTTATGATGTTTATGATGTTTAGATATTTGAGATTTGATATTTTGCGGCATTAAATTTCACATTACCTAGGCATTCGTTCTGAAGTACACTTTTTAGTGGTATTAGTCTCACGCTATCTCACAGTTATCGCTATTGTAACTTTTCCAAAAAACCACTTTGATTACATTAACTCTTGTTCTAATGTACACAGAGGTTGACGTGAAAAAATAAAGATTTTTCATCGTACGCTTATGGAACGCGCGAAAGACATTTTAACTCATTCGCGCCAACGTGATTTGAATTCACGTGTTTATTTATTGAAAATTTATAGAATTCAGTAGCCGGAAGTAGGTCGTAAACTCGCACCTTACAATAGCCTTTACTTCCAACACGCAGACGGCACATTTGCGTGAAGACTTACAAGAATAATCTTTATAGGCATGGTGTGCACATTTGACCCACAGAAAAGATTTCGAAAGCTGCTTGATTTCCCTTGCAACACTGATTGGGCCGAGACAACCAGCGATTGGACTGACTGTAGAAAACGAAAGATCGTTTCAAAGAAAGATAAACCTCCTAAATGTGTGGCCCCTCGGAAAACTACAAAACAGAGGCATCAAGACATAAACAAGCCCAGGAAACCGTTATACCTGAAAGCTTTAGAATCAAGATCAGCCGGTCCGGGTCGCGTAACCAAAAAACCTACTATAAATCCACTAGACACCAATAGAGAAGCAGTCAAGTGTAAAGTGGTCAGTTTTCATGGGATGGGCGCCAAGTTTTGTGTATCTGGGAACATGAGAGTTCAGTCTGTTCCCAATGTTAATGATCAGTGGTCCGTTGATGATGGTGCATTGATGACTGATCGATCAAATCTTAGCTTAGGTTCTACAATAAATCTCGACAGTGGCCATAAACACAGTAAGTATTGGTATTCTTGCAGGATTCCCTTAAAGTATGTTTCATTTTGTAATCCGATCTTTTGCGATTTTGAATATCGGCAAATTGAAACCGAAATGTATATCTTCTTGCGATGATGTGTTGAATTCATTTCAGGCAGGTTCCAAAAAGAACAGATAATACTGCAACTGCACGACCGCTCAGCCAGTTTAATAAAATACCTCTTTAACTCGGGCAACACTTCACGATCAAAGGACCTGCGTATTGAGGATATTTCTCTTCCTATCAGAGAACGGTATATCAAACATCTACATGTTTCCAAATTTAACCGATATTTGATGAGGGTGAAAACTAGAGTTTTGTCACAGAAAAAAGGTTGCAACATTATGAAATCTGTGTCTTGATCATCACTTTCCTTTTTAGTCACACTAAGCAGCTCATTCAGCAGGCCAGTACCACAACACGAAGTACAAAAGAAAAAGCACGTTATTTTGAACCCTAAGGATCCGGAGAGATTTGGGGAGGACTATCTCGGAACACTGTTACCTGACTCTAACCGACCTTTAGGCAAGTGGAAATTTGAAAAAAGCTCTTCAAAATATCATGCACATATTTGATACACATCTGATACATATCTGATTACTGATACATAATACATGTTTGATACATATTTGATACATAATTGATACATATTTGTGCCAAATTTTGTCACAGCTAAAATGTTAGACCCAATTTTGTTCGTTCCAACAAATAACATGTTTTGTCTGCAGGTTATGGTCTATTAGGATCTCCTACGAGTAGAATCAAACTGAGTCGCAAGACTTTAGAGTTCCCAGGACTTGGGGACTACTCCGACTCTAATTTCGTGCTGCCCCCCGTCAACAATTCTCATCCTATCAGAACTTCTATCGACATCAAGGTTTATATTCCACCTTTTACCTCTACTTGATATTGTAGTTGCAAAACACTACTTGATCCGATTTGCATGTATTTCACCGATGAGCTTTAAATACAGCACACCATTCTAAGCTCTATCTAAAATTACCCCACCCAGCCGGACTCCTACATCAACTCCGTATCTCAACTCATGGGGATGCTCTGTATAGAACCCACCAACAACAATTTACCTCAGCACTCAATTCAACAATGGCTAGAATCATGAGGGTAACTGGTTACCAGGTTACCAGGTTACCAGGTTACCAGGTTACCAGGTTACCAGGTTACCAGGTTACCAAGTTACCAGGTTACCTACAATCTACCTCAGCACTCAATACAAAAGTGGCTAGAATCATGAGGGTAACTGGACGATAAGAGTTTAATTTTAATACCTGAGTCCTGAGATGAGAGTGCTTTTGGAGTTTATCTCGTCATGGTTACGTCATGGTTACGTCATGGTTACGTCATGGTTACGTCATGGTTACGTCATGGTTACGTCATAACTACTGTACGGTTGTTAGTATTGTCTGGTAATTCGGAGTTTTAAATTATTGGGCCAGGATTAGCAATTAGAATTTACTTGATATACCATTTTAATATCTTTTTACTGCATCAAAATTTGTAAATAGCTGTAGATACTAATATTATGTAACATTTTATACTGATTATTAAACGATATATTATGCTTTTTTTATTATTTAAGATTTTTGATCTGTACTAGAAATCCAGCTAGAAATCCCAGGTTTATTTTTGACTCGAATGGTACATAATAATGAGATGTGATAATTATATGTATACCCCTAGAATGAAGTGATATGAAGTGAAATTGATACCGAGTTAGCTCTTAAGTGTCTTAACATCGCCATTTTATGGATTTTTTTCAGTCGAGAAGAGCAGAAAAATTATTGTTTTCGATCAATTTTCTAGTTGCCTACTAGGTTTTTTACATTGTTAACAAACAATTAGCATTTGAGAATATAATCGATTTATATTTGTAAATATATCAACATTTCTTCATTATTTTTAGTTAGTTCATCTTTATCTGTTTATCATCACTTCTTGTTGATGTCAATAAATTAAAGAAGAAACAGGAACCTGTTAGCAGCGTCTATAATCAAAGGAATGAAATATAACTTCAAGTTAATTGTTGAGTTCAGAGCTAACAATTGGCACATTCAATTCGTCGGATAAGAAATTTCTGGGGTTCGTCCAAAAGTAAAATTACTAAATAATTTGTTTGGTTTTTTATAAAATAAATTATACTTGAACACATGAACTTATTATCTCTTGTATCCTCTGCATTGCAGAAACTGAAAGTTCGATTGAAATTATTCATGTAAGCAGACGTCACAAGAATAATAATTCATTTGTTTACTCAAATTAAAGTGAAGCAACTTAAATAATATGCTCCTATGCACTAACATGATTTTGCATTTTATAAAAATGTTTAACGATGTATCTCATTTCATTACAGCTAAAAGTAAATCTAACTCAAAGTGTGTCGTTCAGTTTGAATCACTCACCAGGCCTTACATCACATAGTCTAGGACTATCTATGAGAGAATGACTAGACTAATTTACCAGTCAAACTACTGGCAAGATTAACTGATAAATAATTCTGTCTGTTTCACTTGATGACCCGAACTCTGAGTTGTTGCTCACAGTGATCCCGGACGTGTACCATGATAGTGTGCCGGTGTGAGAAGTTGTCCTCCTCGCACCCCTTCCACAAGCACTTCACCTTCTGGGGACAGTTGTCCTGACTCCACACGTGACATCTCTCCACGTGACTTAGCAGCAACTCCGGCTTGTCAAACCTGGGACATGGATAAGTTACATCACGTGATACTGCAACAAACATCACATGATAAGTTACATGTCACGTGATAAGTTACATGTCACGTGATAATTTACATGTCACGTGATAAGTTACATGTCACGTGATAAGTTACATGCCACGTGATACAGCAACAAACAATATGCTACATCTCCTGCAACGTAAAACCACAGCAAACAACAATCGTAATAATTTATCAAGTGACCTCGTGATTCACAGCACAAATCATAATGCCTTCATTACGTCATGACGTTTTATCACAAAAGATTAACATTATATCGATCTTATCACTGATAAAGATAACATGACACTGATAAGATAACATAACACAGTAGTATTACTGATAAAGATAACATAACACAGTAGTATTACTGATAAAGATAACATGACACTGATAAAGATAACATGACACAGTAGTATTACTGATAAAGATAACATGACACTGATAAAGATAACATGACACAGTAGTATTACTGATAAAGATAACATGACACTGATAAAGATAACATAACACAGTAGCATTACTGATAAAGATAACATGACACTGATAAATATAACATAACACAGTAGTATTACTGATAAAGATAACATAACACTGATAAAGATAACATAACACAGTAGTATCACTGATAAAGATAACATGACACTGATAAAGATAAGATAACACAGTAGTATTACTGATAAAGATAAGATAACACAGTAGTATTACTGATAAAGATAACATGACACTGATAAAGATAACATGACACAGTAGTATTACTGATAAAGATAACATGACACTGATAAAGATAACATAACACAGTAGCATTACTGATAAAGATAACATAACACAGTAGTATTACTGATAAAGATAACATGACACTGATAAATATAACATAACACAGTAGTATTACTGATAAAGATAACATAACACTGATAAAGATAACATAACACAGTAGTATCACTGATAAAGATAACATGACACTGATAAAGATAAGATAACACAGTAGTATTACTGATAAAGATAAGATAACACAGTAGTATTACCGTCTCCTGCAGTTAGCCCACTTGCACTTGTTTCTAAACTCTCTCTCAATATCCTGAGGCAGGGAGTTTACCGGGTATACGTCACTCAGGTTATCACACTCCTGACCTGAACAAACCGTCAGTGTTATTGTAAGTGTTACTGTGTAAGTAAGTGTTATTGTAAGTGTGACTGTGTAAGTAAGTGTTATTGTAAGTGTTACTGTGTAAGTAAGTGTTATTGTAAGTGTTACTGTGTAAGTAAGTGTTATTGTAAGTGTTACTGTGTAAGTAAGTGTTATTGTAAGTGTTACTGTGTAAGTAAGTGTTATTGTAAGTGTTACTGTGTAAGTAAGTGTTATTGTAAGTGTTACTGTGTAAGTAAGTGTTATTGTAAGTGTTACTGTGTAAGTAAGTGTTGTTTTAAGTGTTACTGTGTAAGTCAGTGTTGTTTTAAGTGTTACTGTGTAAGTAAGTGTTATTGTTGTGTAAGTGTGTAAGGCTCATGAGTGTACGCGCGTACGTGATAATATTAATGAGTATTACTATTATTTTGTTGTTATTGTAAGTGTGTAAGACGTGATAACTGAAAATGACTAGCACTTTTTGTTTATTTTGTTGCAATTGTGCGACAGTACGTACTACGTTCTCTCTTCTCATATTTCTGTGACTGTATTGTGTGTGTTATATCATATTAGAGGGGTCGATTTTGTCTCACGAAAGAGGTAGCCTTTGATCGAGCATTGATCGAGTGAAAGGTTGATCGAAACGCGACGTCGGTTGGAAAAATGATGGACAAATAATAAACTTGATCCATTAACAAGTGCAAGTTTCTTCCTTCCTCTATAAACATAATTCAAAGTCGAGAGTGAACCTATGTCAAACAAGCATTTTTAAAAGGAGAATAATGAGCTTACATAACATTGGTATCTCTCACGATAATCTTTTTAACCGACTCGTTAATCAATAAACCGATGAAGACACATATGATATTTATATACGTAAAGGTCAAAAGTAAAAGTGAATAAGGATTCAGATAGGTACTTATGTTAAATAATACCGGCAGTGGACATTTTGAATTTAAATATGAAACCAAAAAAAATAAGGTTACCTTTTCAATTACTAGGTTACCTTTTACTATTAGAACTAGAAGCTTGTAATATAAGGGGTCGTTCACATATTACGTAATCAATTTTTGGAACATTTTTCCCCACCTTCCCCCCCTCCCCCCCCCCCCCCCCCTCCGTAATCAGTTTTACACATAGCTATTGTGTCAAAATTACACTAAGCTATTGTGTCAAAATTACATTAACGTAATCATTTAAAACCCCCCCCCCCCCCCCTCAGCTGATAACGTAATATGTGAACGACCCCTAAGTACTAAAAACCCTTACTATCCCTACCTGGGCATCCTCGTAATAGTTTGCAGGTTTCTGTGAAGTTGATATTTGGAGGCCAGCCCTTGATAGTTTGGGCCATTTTACTTAAATCAGTCCAGGAATACAAGGAATAAAAGGATGCTCACAGCGGCTAAAAAATATGAAATTACAAACAAAAATGAGAGTGTGAATTGAGACAATGACAACGAAAACCAGTGCAGTATATTCACTGAGAAGATGTGAGTACAGGTTGGTAGCACGCATGCTGCTTGGGATAGCATGCAAGCAATTTCTGTAAAATGTTAATGTCATATGCATGGGCCCTAGACAGGTTTCGATGACTCGTTAACTTTTAAAGATTTGTCATGAACATGAAGATGATATTGGATGCGGATATTGAAGATATGCGTTTCTAATATATGGATAGCTTTGTAAACTTTTCTTTCAGCACATTCTCAGGTGGCCATCACGTGAGAGATTCTGAATTGGCCACAATACTTGTGAGAAAATACAAAGTTAAATGTAAGATTGGAATTTGTAGTTATTCTTGGGAATATGGAACGTTTTGCTTTGCTAGGAAATCTTGGGTTTCCCGAAAGTGATCGGCAAAAGATTCAAATAGAAAGAGTCCCAAAAAATTATCTGAATCTCTATAGACTGGATAGGTCCCCGTCGATAGTGGTCAGGAACTACTTCACAGCAACTCACTGTGTAGAAAAACGTATCTATTTGCAGATTGCAGATGAACCAATATGATATATCTGATTCTGTATGCCGGCTAGAAATCATAATTTTTATCAATAAACTCTAAATTTGGATACTGAATAAATATAACAAGCATTTAATCTCATGCAGCAAAACAACAGCAGCTTTTTTGACTGTGTTCAGAGTGTGTGTCTCTTTGTGAACCTTCAATTGAGATTTTAATTTTCCAGTAATTACCTCTTTTTTTAAACATTATGTGGTTCGAAGCTGTTACAGTTACATACACATTACATACCTCATACTTTGATACCCAATTTTTACCCACCCCCCCCCCCCCCCCCCCCCCCCCCCTAACTACGTCAGCACTTCCAAAATTTAAATCTCCAACTTTCTGCACGATGTACTGGAATGTTAAACTAATTTCCCAGTCGGAAAATCGGAAGTAAAATGATATTCAGAATAAAGCGGACCTAGATCCGTCATTGTTAATTTTCCTTCTTTTTGTCCTAAAAGTATACTTAGTTGCCTTTTGACGTCAAATAATTAATTGTATTGAAAATCTTTTTGAATATAACAACCATAGTACACGATAAAATATAAACAATCTCTGTATTAATATTATATGTAATTGTGATAATTTGTAAAATAGTGATGTCTCTGTATAGTAACCGGACAAACCGGTGATTTCTTTGTAACCTTAGTAGTTAGTATTTAATAATTTTACCAAAACCCATAATCATGGGTAGAGTGGACCGCTGCCAGTGTCTCTCTTTCCCAAACAAAAGGAAATGATATTAATTTGATTGACCGTTCTCAAATGCAAAATGATACCGAGAATGAAATCGGTCGCTCGCTTTTCCCATTCATTCACGGCTTACGAATTGTAATAATTTTCGATTGATTACATGTCAATCAGATGCTGTAAAAATCTCTTTGGGTTGCGTTCGGGTCGATACCTAGTATTTCGGGGTAAGGGTGGTAGTTATCACTTATTGCATTAGCTGAAGTTTATTGAATCTTTATTGCCGAGTACAGCTGCCTTTGGGTAGTTCTTCTTAAAATCTATTACAATTGTAAATGAATGGGAAAAGCGAGCGACCGATTTCATTCTCGGTATCATTTTGCATTTGAGAACGGTCAATCAAATTAATATCATTTCCTTTTGTTTGGGAAAGAGAGACACTGGCAGCGGTCCACTCTACCCATGATTATGGGTTTTGGTAAAATATCATCTCTTTTTGATTATAATGTCAGGATACTTTATAAAGTCGAAATATAAACTGATATCTTCATTATAATAAGGAGGAAGTTTCAACGATTTCGAAATTTTTCCTTTAAAAACATTTCCTTGTGTTTAGGTAAGCATATCGGTCCATCACTGACTGAATATACCACTTAATACTCATTCAAGTTGACATTAAATTCATATATAATGACATTAAACTGTCGTGGCAAAGCAGAATTTGTTGGAAATCACGAATGAGCAAAATTCTCACCTTTCGCACGTGCAAACTTTGAGCGGACGTTGCATGCGCATCCAATATTGAATCGTCGTAAATTTTTGCATGTAATTGTTTTATATATAGCTTGATAAGCATGCAAAGTTTCAAAGTATTTCAAGAAGAACTGTAATCAGAACGGCACTCTAAAGTTGACAGAAAATGACGAAAACAGCAATTTTCAGTGATTTTAGCAATTTTCTATCAATTTGGGCGTGTCCCCACGTGTGCAACTTTTCGATTTTCAACTTTAAAACTAACCTAATGCACAATTTATACCTATAGGAAGCATAACTGAGCTCCACAACCCAAGGCATGGCCCAACACCAAAGAATACTAAATCGCAAAATTAACGTTTTTATAAAATAATTCTTCAAAAAAGCACAAACTTCAATGACAAATATCTTTATGAAGGAGCAAGCTAGAAAAACTTTCCGGTAGATTTTCAGAATGCTTGAACAATTATCTAAGGTAAAAATTTCCTCAGATTTTGAATAAAATTACTCCTTAATGGGTTAAAATTAATTTTAAAAGTTATTACTTTGTCAAAAATCAAGTTTTAAAAACGGTTAACTTGATGACGTCATCAAGGGGTGTTTATGACGTCAAATAAATTTTTTATACAATGTAAACTAAAGTGTAAACAATTATTTGCAAGACCTGTGGTCGGAAATGGCTGTATCTTTTATACTTTTGAATCTATGGACACTTAAATACAGGCTACAATTGACTGGCAAAGCGTCTATCCCTGAATATATATGTATGTATATCTGTATGTATATGTCCCGACAATCTGTTGTAAAACAGGGGTTCTAGAAAACCCATTTCCCGATGCTCCTGAAACCTGAAACTTTTTTTGCAGTCAATTTGGTCAACGTCTAGACGCCCTGAAAAATTTCAGATCTCTAACTCAATTTTAACATGGTTTTTAGGGCACCTGAATATGGCGATTTTGGGTTTTTTACCGAATTTCGTATAACAGTGCTGGCAAGTATTTTATGAAAATTTCTTAAAAATCTGAACATAACTATTTTTTATTCTTGTCATCTTTGACATCAAATTAGAATGTTTTGAACTAAAAATAAATCTGCTGAACGACTTCCGATGAGTCTTAATGCCTGGAAAACTCCTGCCGGAGGCGGCGGCCTTCGGCCGCCGCCTCCGGCCGGAGTGCACGCTTCGCGTGCACAAAAGAGGCTTGTAACGTGTACCAAAGGGGGTATAATAGTAAAAGGGGTATAATAGTAAAGGGGGTATAATAGTAAATGGGGAACATAGTATACCCACAATAAATGCAACGGTCGTGCTTGCCAGCACTGTGACCTGATCATCACGTTCTATTTAGTTGTAACAGGAAAGTTCACAAGGGGCATGGTACTAAAAAATAAAATGTTTAATGTAGTAAATCGATTTATGATCAGATAGGTTCCTTTTAGAATCTGAACAGAAGAGGTTCATTGATTTCGTTAGCAAGATTGCTCCTTAGTTGACATACGTTGCATGCCACTTTTCTGATGTTTATGATACGCAACATGTATCAACTCCAGTCTCCTTCGTTGAGAGCGAAATAAGGGTATCGAAAACTTTACCTGCCTTCTGCGTGGCGATCTTTCCGCTTTTATGTTCTTGCATAGGGAATCGAGCAGTAGACTAGCAAGCTAGGTAATCGAACAATTTTCGTTTTTCAGCTATATACTCAAAATAACGTTAGTCAACTTATCCTTTGACCGGGAGCAGGACTCTGGAGCGGGGGAATGTAGAGCGGGGACTCTAGAGCGGGGGACTCTAGAGTGGGGGACTCTAGAGCGGGGGACTCTAGAGCGGGGGACTCTAGAGCGGGGGACTCTAGAGCGGGGGACTCTAGAGCGGGGGACTGTAGAGCGGGGGACTCTAGAGCGGGGGACTGTAGAGTGGGGGACTCTAGAGCGGGGGACTCTAGAGCGGGGGACTCTAGAGCGGGGGACTCTAGAGCGGGGGACTCTAGAGCGGGGGACTCTAGAGCGGGGGACTCTAGAGCGGGGGACTCTAGAGCGGGGGACTGTAGAGCAGACTTGGTCGGAAGTAGGACCCTAGAGCGGAGTCAAATCGCCAGGGTAAGACTCTAGAGCGGAACTCCCTTACAGGACCCATACTATGAGGACTCTAGAGCGGTACCCACATGCAGATCATTTTAGAGCGGTTAGAAATTTGAGAGCGGACTGTAGAGCGGACTTGGTAGGAAGATTCAAATCAGATTAGATACATCTCGTGATTAATTATTACAGTCGTGACATAAGAATAAGTCATGGAGTTGTTGAAGCAGAAAATTGTCCAAGATCAATTTATTTATATTATACTTATAGTTATACATCATATCATATTGTAATTTTTAGATACGTTCTAGACACTTGTTCGGTATGAACTTCTTCCATTTGACTGAAATATCCTCATGCTACTCTAAGTCTAAAATGCAACAAATTTCTTTGATAAAGAGGTATAATTATGAACTGGTCGTATCGATGTGATTTCGCTAAGTAAAGCTAAATACCGACCAAGTACGTGCAGTCAAGCAGATCGTTTAGGAATGAGGATCTCATCGCGTGACAGAGGCACATATTAGGTGCGGTAAAAAAATTATGCGGTACCGCACCCGACTATAAAGGTAAAATGTGCGGTAAATTTTTACCAATTATGCGGCAAATGTGCGGCGATTTTTTCGAAATTTGTGCGGGAATTGTGCGGGTTTTTTTTGCATTTTCTCGGGGACTTTGGAAATTCTAAACGTATAACCGCCGCTCTTATCAAAAATAGGTCTGTTTATGTGTTACTGAGGGTGTAGTTCTTTACTAAGACCATGATTGAACCTATATTGAGATTCAGTTATCTGGGAACAGTGACTTGATCTGGTAGAGATCAGGAATCAGGATACAGTTATTTGAAGACGCCTCTTGATAGAGTCGATCAGATCCCATGCGTGATCGCAAATATGTGACACGCTTGTTGGCATTGATCGTCAGTATTTGTGAACCATTTGATCCAAGATTCATTAAGCCCACTATAAAGCCAACGCTGCAACGAATAAAGCTCATTACCCTTTACACCTACTTCTTCTATTATCACCTACGAATGATAACTGATAAACTATAATCGAAGTACGGTAACGACGAGGGTTCCATAATGGCCTGGGTCTCGGTCCCGAAAGGGCCTGGGTCACGGTCCCGAAAGGGCCTGAGTCACGTGGCCTAAGCATGAGTTCCAAAAGGGCCTGGGTCACGGTCCCGAAAGGGCCTGGGTCAGGGTCCCGAAAGGGCCTGGGTCACGGTCCCGAAAGGGCCTGGGTCACGTGGTAACCGGGTCACGTGACCTAAGCATGAGTTCCAAAAGGGCCTGCGTCACGGTCCCGAAAGGGCCTGGGTCAGGGTCCCGAAAGGGCCTGGGTCAGGGTCCCGAAAGGGCCTGAGTCACGTGGTAACTGGGTCACGTGGCCTAGGTATGAGTTCCAAAAGGGCCTGGGTCACGGTCCCTAAAGGGCCTGGGTCAGGGTCCCGAAAGGGCCTGGGCCAGGGTCCCGAAAGGGCCTGAGTCACGGTCCTAAAAGTGCCCAACTTTTAACATATTTTGGTTTTACACTCGAAAATCTTAACGCGAAAATTTCAAAATTATGCGAAATTACGCGGAAAATGCTAGATTATGCGGAAATATGCAGATAATTACAAAATGTGCGGAAATGTGCGGAAAACAATAAATTATGCGGAAGTGTGCGGAAAACGGTAAATTGTGCGATCCCGCACCCATCGCACCTAATATGTGCCCATGTCGCGTGACACTAACTGTCACCAATATGTAAATCAGATCGAACGAGAAATTAGATCAAACGCGCGGCGCGGCTTTCAATGTATTTGTATATGTATCTCGCGCCAGGGTTCGATCTAATTCCTAGATCGAACAGGTTCGATCTAATTTCTCGTTCGATCTAATTTCTCGTTCGATCTGATTTACATCTTGGTGACAGTTAGCACCTACTAAGGGTATCTCATCATGTTCAGTCTGGTGACTTTACAGTCCTGTGTCTTTATGCTGTTGAAATCGAAGGACATTGAGATGGCGCTTCGAAATTCTCTCTCCGAAGTCTTTCCTTCAGCAGTGGTTGACAGTTCTGCCGTTTTCTGACAAAAGTGCTTAAGTAACATTTTGAAAATTTCGGGTTTTTTGGTCTAACTTTTGTTTTTGGGTCAAGAACTATCCCTGAGGACCATTGGATACATTCGCCGACCCCCCAAAACCCCCTTTTTGGAACCCCCTAAAATGCAAAAAATGGTCATTTTTCTGAGAAAAGTGCTTAAGTAACATTTTGGAAAACGGGTGCCGTTTATTTCAAAAATGGTGCCATTTCGGGAACTGAAAACGGTGGCATTGTTTTCTACGTCCAAAACTGGCCTAGTGACGGCAATTTGGTGATCGTGGGTCTTTTGGCCTGGGAAAAAACAATTTATGTCACTTAAGCACTTTTGTGAAAACGGGCTCGTTTTCTCACAAAAGTGCTTAAGTGCCATTATACGTTTAATTAAATGTTGATTCTGCCAACTAAAATATGGTTCGGGAAAAATATGGCGAAATTGCTCAAAACCCACCACATTTTCCCGGTCGCCATTTTACCGGTGTCCAACCTTTCAATTTTAGATTAAAAAATTTTGTCTCAGATGTAAATTTCCTTATTAGAGATCAACAAGTTTAGAAATTTTCGCATTGCTAAAACTTGTGAAACAAGTCGAATTATCAATAATTGTTCAAAGTAGACAGAAATAATGACTCGTGGTTAATCAAACTTCGAAAGAATGCATCGTTCACATTGTTTAGAATTATGAATAAATGACTGATGAAACTGATTCATGTTATTGACAGTTTTAATTAATTCAAGTTTTAATTTAACTGTTACTTTTATTTTGAGTCCTATTTCATTATGTAGAGATATTCAATACCTAAGAAAATAAAAATTGGCCTATTTAAATCAACTTTGACAATAAGGATATATGACAAGAATTGGGCGAAAAGGTGAATTTTTTGCAATTTTAGCCAAATGAAGTCGAAAAACCTACAACAAGTGTCCCAATAGTCTTCTTTAGTGAATATAAGACAACGATTAAAATATGAGCACCCATACCCCTTGGGAACCCTAAAAGCTGAGTCGGCGGGTTTATTAACAACCGGTGAAAATGTGGTTCGGGAAAAATATAGCGAAATTACCCTAAACCCGCCACTTTATCCCGGTCATAATAATCCCGAGTAAGGTAGTACAGATATAACAGATCTTAATCGAGTGTTTGACTAAAAATCATCTATTTCTTGTATTATTTACCATTTATTGATGTACAACAATTATGTTACATTTTTAATTTTATACACTTGTTTTTCTTTGCCTCGCGTTACGATATCAATAATTCGCAAATAATTGGTCTTTATGAAGAAAGCCTCATCTGAGTTCTTAATTTAATTTCTAAAGAAAGAAAATTATTTATTATTATCGGTATCCCGTACTTTCACCAATCAACTCTTCGTTGAAATGCTGGTAGAATTCCGACTATTTTTTAATCCGCTGGGGAGAAGGGAGTGTTTTCGTGTTCTTAAACCACCACCAATCAATTTGTCGTAAAATTTTAGGTCAGAATGATCGCAGATAAAGTTCCCACTAATGTGGCTGTACTTAAGCACTTTTCTCAGAAAACGAAATTTTTAAATTTTCTATTTCAGCGTGTCCCCTATTTACAACCAATGTTTCATCACAACAGTTTTAGGCTAATTTTTCGTTTTACTTTCGATGACCATTGGTTTGAACGGGTCATTTTCATCAGAACATGGAGCTTTTGCTGATGTGGCTGTACTTAAGCACTTTTCTCAGAAAACGAATTTTCAAATTTTCTATTTCAGCGTGTCCCCTATTTACAACCAATGTTTCATCACAACAGTTTTAGGCTAATTTTTCGTTTTACTTTCGATGACCAATGGTTTGAACGGGTCATTTTCATCAGAACATGTAGTATTTGCCGATGTGACTGTACTTAAGCACTTTTCTAAGAAATTCAAACTATAATTTGTGATTTTGAGGCACTTTCCGAGAAGTTAGGATGATGAAACCTTGTCAGAAGTTTCAAAAGTCGACAAAGTACCTTAGAAACATAGTGGGTGCAGTTTAAATTGGACAGTAGCTAGCCCAGAGCAATTACAGAATTGAAATCTTTAAAGTCAATTTGCACAAAATGAACCTTGTGTTACTTAAGCACTTTTGTCAGAAAACGGCAGAGTTGCTACTTCCACTTTTGCCAGGTAGTCCTGAGATGGGTACGGGAGAACGGACTGAAGAAGACCTACGACGGAGGAATTAACAGCCCCCTTACCAATTCCTGGACTCCAGGTCCTGTTTGAGTGTGGATACGTAGACTTATGTAGCTTGCCTTTCTCCCAGTGGACGATGTTCTCCCTTCTTTCAAGGAGCTCCTAGATCTCATCCCCTCAAACCTTGGCCTCGACGACGCGACTTCCTTAACTACTTCATGACGACTTGGGTACAGGGCGTTTCCACCTTTCTTCAAGCCGATTTGATTCCGCTCTAGGGTCCCACTACGGACCAAGTCCGCTCTACAGTCCCCCGCTCTAGAGTCCTACAGCACCTTTGACTATTTATATACATCATAATCTCACAATTACATGATACGGATACTCTAAGTCTACAGCCGACTACACCTACCCTTTTTGATCTTCATATAATGTAGGGTGAAATGAGTCTGACTAGCAGAAGTTTGCTTATTATTATATGTAACGGGTACCCCTGCTTCTTTGAACTAGCTCTCAAAATATATTCTCCATAACTTTGTAACCTATATTCTGATTCATAGATTGTCAACGATTACCTTAACCTACTGACCTGACGTTTGGGACGGTGAGATTGAGGTTAACCCCTCGTCGTTCAATTTGAATTCTTTATGGCACTTGCTCGTTTATCTTATACTGTCAGTAATTGTTGCTCTCAAAGCGATTGACTGATAGAGCCCACTCCCTCAATTCGGTAAGGTCAAATGAGGTAAAGCTGCAGCCACACGATAATGATATTGAACAATAAACAAGTGCTGATTTGAATTTCTGCAAGATTCGATTTCTGCTTTGAGTTTGACTAAAGAACAATCATAAGCTTAAGTTTCCTCACTTGAATCATGAATGAGGTCACATTTAGGCTATTAACTAGCACATGGCAATCTTTTTTGTGTTCCCAATCTCGCATTGGAAAATTACTCAATTCTGAGTGTGAATACGGCTGGTACCTGCAATTGTATTCATTGAGCATTCTGTTCTGTAAAACTGCAGTAACAATTGTATTTTTAGTATTTACGCGTACGATCGATATCAGATCTCGATCCCTACATGACACTCTTTACCTCCTTCAAACCTTTACCGATAAATAAATCGTTCGAGTTTCTACTTCTAGTCGCTTTAGATTTAATTTCCTAACTCTCATTTCAGCGACAGAAGCACAAATTATGTCGACTTATCCTGTTAAAGTTAATTACTCTAACAAGCTGATGAACGATCTGTGGAACGATATAGCACCTGGGTTTTACAACTACGGCAGAATATCACCTGATGCAGATGTCGATACCATCCCGGACTTGAAAAAGGCAAACGAGGATATGATAGAGTATATCATCTCAAACCAGGGGATAGGACCAGACTCCAGGATCCTGGACTTGGGATGTGGGAAAGGGATGTACACCGTGGGAATTGCTAAACGCACGGGGTGTCACTTTGTAGGGACTGATATCAACCCGAAGTATATCGAGGAGTGTGAGGATCTGGCTAAGTCCCACGGAGTCAGCCATCAAGGAAAGTTCCTGACCAGCTCCATCCTGGATGCTGCTCCTGAGATTAAGGAGCAGACCTACACTCACATCATTATTCTGGGGGCTATGCTTTACGCACATGGGGACCTGGAAGCGTTCCTGACTGAACTCGTTGGTTACTGTGACAAGGACACCAAAATATTTATTTGGGATTTTGTCAGGAAGGTAGACTGGAAGCTCTGCAAGGAAGCAAACAGGCACCTCAAAATGCCCCACTCGCTCCTCACAAATGAGAAATTCTGGATCATTTTAAGAAAGCAGATCTGGATCTGGTGGAGTTCGAGGACGCGACAAAGTTCATTATACCAGGGTATAAAGTTATGACAAGAGAGTGCAAGAAAAGGGATCCTAAGATGGAGTTTCTAACATATCCACTGGTGGGGGAAGCTTTTATGGAGGGATTGCTAGCTTATGTGTATTACTGCCTGAAAATTAAGTCTTAGAGACGCTCCTGAGACAATCACCAGACATTTGACTATTTTTATATTTTCAACAGAACTCAGAAACATTACTGAATACTTATAATGGGTTGCATGCTTTTTAAAAACGTGTACAGATGTATTGAATTATTAATATTTTTATATACAGGGTGGGCCAAAAGTCAGTGGGCATACGTTGGGTTTTATAGTGGGTTCCGCCGTGTTTTATATAAATATTTGAGAGCTGTTGCTTTGCAGATGGCATACTGTTATTACTGTACTTACTGGTTCGAGGATTCCGTTGTCAAAATTTGAATATTTTAGACCACGCCCATTTAATATTAAAACACTTATATTGTTTTCTCTTAACATACTGAAGGCCTAATTTTTTCAGAGACGGTAGATTATTGAATGTTGCATATGATCTGAAACATGAGGCAAAACGGATTAGAAATGACGAAGTTATCAAGAATTTTCTGTATCTCGTTAACAAAATTGACTGGGTGATTATGTGACACCCTGACACGACACCTTAATTGGGCACCCTTAACAATTCCCATAATGTTTAACGGGGTGGTTAACGGGGTCACCTAATCACGTGATTAGGTAATGAATAAACTCGTTATGCTTCATATCTCGGTTATCTGAGAAGCTAATTTTTTCAGGACAAACGTAATTCGAATGGCCAAACACAATTCAATAAAATTTAGCTCGATCCGACTATCCAAACTATCAAATAAATGCAAAAATGAACCTTCATTTGAAACAAATGAACTCGAATATTTTTCCATTTGACAAATTCCTCGAACCAGTGATGGTAGTAAGTCATACCAGAAAGAATTATTTCAATTGGGCACTCAGTGACTGAGCTATTAAGGCCAACGTATGCCCACTGACTTTTGGCACACCCTGTAGTTTCATCAGAATTGAGATACCTAACAAATTTACGTATATTAAAACGATCAGTTGAACAACATTGTCAAAATTATAAGTATTTCCTGTCTGCTGTGTTTTCTACTTTTTTTAAAACGTTGATATCTGTGTATGTACATTTCAAATGTACTACATTTGTGTAATATATACTTGGGATTATCATATTATTGAATATAACTGCATTAATCATTAGTAATACTCTACTACTTCTGAGTTCTGAATTAATCATCGAATAAAGTTTTTTTCGGGGAAAAAGTAATCAGTAATACGGTACTGGCAGTAATATGGTTAGACTAGCGCAAAATAAGTATAGAGCTACTGAGTCTACTATACTGAGTCTACTATACTGAGTCTACTATACTGAGTCTACTATACTGAGTCTACTATACTGAGTCTACTATACTGAGTCTACTATACTGAGTCTACTATACTGAGTCTACTATACTGAGTCTACTATACTGAGTCTACTATACTGAGTCTACTATACTGAGTCTACTATACTGAGTCTACTATACTGAGTCTACTATACTGAGTCTACTATACTGAGTCTACTATACTGAGTCTACTATACTGAGTCTACTATACTGAGTCTACTATACTGAGTCTACTATACTGAGTCTACTATACTGAGTCTACTATACTGAGTCTACTATACTGAGTCTACTATACTGAGTCTACTATACTGAGTCTACTATACTGAGTCTACTATACTGAGTCTACTATACTGAGTCTACTATACTGAGTCTACTATACTGAGTCTACTATACTGAGTCTACTATACTGAGTCTACTATACTGAGTCTACTATACTGAGTCTACTATACTGAGTCTACTATACTGAGTCTACTATACTGAGTCTACTATACTGAGTCTACTATACTGAGTCTACTATACTGAGTCTACTCCATATTCTGATCACATGTCGCAATCTAGTGTGTGCCACAGCAGTAGAATTTGATTGACCTAGAAACAGTGGCACGTAACGTTGCCTGTTGGCGCTCCTCCCCTTTTGGCTTACTGGGCGGCGCTCAGCCTGTCATCCCGCCTAATTTATATGATTATGAACATAAATATAATAGCCTGGGGTCCCCAGGTAATTTTTGGCGCCCCTTCCTAAAATTTAACATATCAGATGATTTTAGATATTAGATTTAGACTTTAGAGGATAAAACAGTGAAATCTCTAAAAAATGTGTTTTTAGATCAAAACGCGCAGTTTTTCTAGTAGTATTAGTAGTACATCAGTTCAGTTTTTTCAAAAATGTCCCACATTCAAACGGTTCAAATGGTTTGGCATGCCTACCCTTTCCAAATTCACTGGTCGAGGAGGAAGTTGACAGGAGGTGGATTATGACGAAGACATCAACATCGTCCTCTGGCTCTGCTTGGCGTTGCTCGAAGAACTGCTAAGTGTCCCCGCCACTGAGGGGCAGCAGTGCCACTGCTACCTCGCTCTGACCGGACCTTTTACATGGCACTGGCAGATTGTGCCGCAGATTTAATGTTATCTGCTATACCATTCAGTATTCATTCTGTGATAGACAACAAATGTTTACCCTTAGTACAGGACTACAGGATGGGCCAAAAGTCAGTTTGCAAACGTTGGCCTTAATAGTTAATAGCTCAGTCACTGAGTGCCCAATTGAAATAATTCTTTCCGGTATGACTTACTACCACCACTGGTTCGAGGAATTTGTCAAATCGAAAAATATTCGTGTTCATTTTTTTCAAATGAAGGTTCATTTTTGCATTTATTTTATAGTTTGGATTTGTCGGATCGAGCTAAATTTTATTTGTTATTGAAATGTGTTTGGCCTTATTCGAATTGCGTTTGTCCTGACAAAATTAGAGTTGTAGCTTCTCAGATAACCGAGATACGAAGCATAACGACTGTATTCATTACGTGCGATCAAGTGATTGGTTAACCTAATCACGTGTTACTGGGCGGCGCCTGTCATTCCGCCTAATCTCTATTCGATTATGAGCATAAATATTAAATATAATAGCCAGGGGTCCCCAGGTAAATCACGTGATTAGGTGACCCCTTTAACCACCCCTATAGGGCCTGTCATGATATCATAAATCGCTTACACCAGGATCTGGTAGTCCTCATAATTCTGCGGCCTTTATGTATCGTCATCTCGCACAACTCCGTAAGACCCTTGTGAGTTTGGCATGTGAAAATTTCAAATTTGTAGCCTTTCAGACATTGAATGGGGATAACGAGGTGTCGTACGTCACCTCAAGATCGGGTGACAGGGGGCTGACCAGGCCAGAACCCAATTGATTGGGTCTGAGGTCACGTGATTATGAGCCTGAGGGCACGTGACTGTGACGTCACCAGACTCCGTTTCCCGCTAATTGGACCAGGTGAGCTTGCATGCTTGTGAATGTGGGTTTAAGTACAGCTGTACTGTAGTTTATATCTAATTACTCCCTGTTATAGAATAAGAATAAGAAACCGTAAATTTACCAAAATATCGTCATTGTTATAAACTTATTTTGATTAACATTCCCAACCTAAAATTGCACGAGAAATCGATTCAACTTGGTTTCAGAGCTCAATAATGCTTCCTTATGCCTTAAAATCCATGTTTTATCGATACAATCAACATTATGATCCTGTTGATTAATTAGTAACAGATAACATAACGGGTCGATTTCGAGTGACCAATAATCGTCGTGATGATACGTCATGTGTGATGTGGTCCTGATCATCATAAGCAATCAAGAGACAGGATCGGCAAGGTCAAAAGGAAATCGCGGCACGTGCAGAATCGCGATTTTTCCCATTCCCTGCGACAAATCGCGATTTTTGACGTTTGCCGAGACAAACAGATCTTCGCGACAAATTGCGATCATTCCAGTTCTCTGAGGACCAAATTTGCGCATTCTCCTTTAAATCCGAGGGCAAAATATCATGTTCTTTATAATTATATTGAACTTATCACATCCACAGCCTTTCGAATGTAGGTACGAACCGAAAAAGTAGTTTCCAGAAAAACTTTGAAAATAATTTCGATTTAGAAAATTTTCGGTCCGAGTCATTCTCGGTTCACGTACTGTAGTGCGACACGTACTCTAGTGCGACATGTACCCTAGTGCGAAACCTCCAAGATCGACACTGTCGCAGTAGAGTACGCTACCTGGATCGTAGTGCGACACGTACCCTAGTGCGACAGAGAATTTTCAAGGCCGACACTGTCGCACTACAGTGCGCTACCTGGACTGTTGTGCGACACGAACTAAAGTGCGACAAAACACTTTACACATTCAATAAAAATTTAGTCAGCAAAGGAATCCATCTCCGGGGGAAGGGTTGCTTTCAGCTGCGTCCAGGTACCCAGTACGTCTCCAAGGTCCACGAAGGCAATGGCACCGATCATCTGAAAGTACTTCCGTACTGCTGAGTTCTCTGCGTTGTATTCCGGGACTAGGTCATGTTGCTGCATCTTCCTCCAAAGTGCTTGCTTGTGGTGGAAGAAGCATCCTCTCTTGGTGAAGAGCTGCGCAGGAGTAGGAGGGTGGGAATGGGTCTTCGTACTGGTCACAGTAGTGTCGTTCATCAGACTGAGACGTCCGGAGCAGATTTTCTCAGTACATCGCCAGTAGGTCCTGTCGTCGCGCTTCTTATCCAGGCAGTAGCGGTATCCGTCGTGGATAACGTTTCTTGAACAAGTAGTGCGTCCAGGAATGAAGGTGATTGAAGAAGACATGTTGATGTTGTTCGATGCTTTGGTAGAATCATCGTGACCTTATATATGGCCCAAGCATATGAACTTGTTATCCAAATCGGAGATATACCTTCATACGATGCGTGTGATAGGAATGAGGATCATATGCTGCTTACGAGTTACCCGGTGGATTACACACTGCATACGTCGCTTGAACTGACCCGAAGGAATTGTGATCAGTGGATCACTTCGAAACACGTAATGTGAACCGACGAATCGTATTCGCAAGATCACTTCGAA